CCTTATCCCTCAGAGAAAAAGAAAAAAGTCTAAGTCTAACAACATCGTTTGAGACTCTGTCATATTTAAAAGTAGCACACAGTTCTCAAAAACTAGCGAAGTGTAAGTTCGGATCTTCATTTGGTGTACCTCCAAATTGATTGTTTTGTACCATTTGGATAATAGCAGGTTTATGCTCAAATGAATTAGCAGCTACATTAGGATTTTGGATAGATATGTGAATCTCATCTGTTGTAGGATTTGCATAATCACTTAGGGGTCTAGGTTGGTGTTCATTCTCTATTCCTTGATTGTTCAGGTTGTTTTCCATTGTATCAGAATTTCTAGGTTCTCTTCTTAATTTTCTAATCCTTCTAACAGTGCGTTCTAATTCTGAATCGCAGGGTATAAGATTTTCAGGTCCAAATTTACGCACAAAATTTAAAATCAGTACACAGTTTATAATTAACTAAATTTAAAAATAAGTTGCAATTCAAGTAAAAATTTTCTAATAATCCTAATTTGTCCGTTACTCTAATTGTGCTTTTACTCACTCACTCCCCAAAAACGGCGCCAAATACTTGACTAACAATTTTATATATGCTTAAAAATATAAGTTAAATATGGACATAATAAATATTATATAATTGTAAAGTCACACTTATCAACGCAAGTATATTGTATCGCTCAAATAATATAGGGCTCTAATGGAGTCCTAGATATCGATCCTATAGAGAGTGGTTTAGAATTGCGAACTAAGACTTTAGAAAAGCAATACTTTAATCGCAACAACGAAGTTTAATTTGTTTATCTGTCACTAATAGGCAATTGAAATAAATATGTAATTTTAATAACTATTAAATAACTAATGGTACTAATGAGGGTTTAAATGTTATATTCAATATATAAGAAAGCATCCTTCTCCTTGTCAAGAAATTATAGTGAATGGATAAAGTGAATTAGTTCAATTTATATTTCACAAAATAGGAGCATACCTATTCTTTACACTTTGGTCCAGTCATAAACAACATTGACTAATCCTACGCTTGTTTACTGAATCTGCGGCTAGACTGGGAGGATACCGACTCTCACTTCGAAGCTCCTACGTTCCCCTCAACTGAGGGCTAACATCTACTCTTTAGCACCCAAATGATTGGACCGAATTAGGGATTTTATTTTGTCACTCTAAAATCTCCAATTCTACGCCCGATAATATTATTTCCCTATTTATTTGCACTCAACTTCCAAGGGCTTTGACCTCCCTTAATCTTAGATGTAATCTTCACTTTAGTTGTAAAAATTAACATATTTTAACAAATCAATTGGCCAGATTGAAAGTAAATTAAGATCGAAGAGAAAAGATCATCACAATTTCTTAAACATTTTCATGGCTTCACCAATTCAAATCACCATTTCACAAATCTCAAGACAACGAGAAAGATAGAGAAGACTACTCAGATCTCATGGGGAAAACACAAAAAAACTCAGAATTTATATATAAAATTAAAGTCATACAAACTACAAGAAGTAAATAACTTATCTCAAATTTCTCCTCAAGAAAACTCCTCGAAGTTCCTCTGAATCTCTTCCTTTCTTTACAGCACACAAAAT